TGACGTAGTAGTTTGATGAAGAGCACTAATAGTTAAGACTAATCTCAATATATACGTGACGTAGTAGTTTGATGAAGAGCACTAATAGTTAAGACTAATCTCAATATATACGTGACGTAGTAGTATGATGAAGAGCACTAATAGTTAAGACTAATCTCCATATATACGTGACGTAGTAGTATGACAATATCTCTTCTTCTACTTGAGTGTTATTATTCTTGTATGAGATTAATAATTATATTTAATAAGCAGCTCATAGTGTTTCCGTTTCTTTACCTCTGCCTCGTCGCTGCATCTGTATTCGAAACTTTAAGTGGCTGGCTCTTTCTTCCATATCTAGCCTCATCTGGTTACGTGAAGATTGCCGGAGAGACGGGGGAATTGTGGGTAGCTGACGTTTTTTCTGGAGGTGTGTACCTGACAAGATAGCGTCTTTTGTCTTGAAATACTGACGAGTCGGGGACTTTATCACGGACGAACGTGGTCTATAAAGTATATAAATAATATGCATATGACTTTGTTCTCTTGTTGTCGTGTTAACACGAGCTCTAAGAAATAAGTCCCAAATCAATCCATCTGTCTAGAAATAATTAATCCTAAACAATATTCCAGCAGTGTGAGGAAAGTTACATTCTTTTGTTGAAAGAAGTCCCATTGTTACTATACGATAAACACCCACGAAATGATCAACCTCGAGAAATAATATATACACACATTTCAACTGGTAACTGATTTAACCATTCTAATGAGCTGATGTGGTTATTTTTCGGTTTCAACTTATGAATGGGTAAACTTTCTTTCATGCGAAAACCTTGTTAAGATCTTAAAGTAATGTCATCGGACGATTACGTCACACTCACCTAAGGTGTGCACCAAATACTACTTTATTTATTCGTCGTTCTTTATGTTGCATGTTCTCTCAATCGTGGAACAGATGCAACCTTGGTTGCAACAAGGACAAGCAAATTAACAAACTAAATCTTACGTTTTCAATGGAGAAATACGATCTTTACATCTGAAGAACTACTACAAGTGACATCTTGGTTTAAATGTATCTTGGTTATAGACATACTCCAATAATTAGGGAATACAGCTGTTTTTAACATATTTACAATAAAGTTATATATATACTGAACATACAAGAATCCGGGTTTCGATACCCGTGGCGGGCAGAGCACAGTTAGCCCATTGTGTGGCTTTGTGCTTAATTACAAACAAACAAACTAAAAATGCATATGTCTGCGGACTTACAACGCTAGAATCCGGGTTTCGATACCCGTGGCGGGCAGAGAACAGTTAGCCCATTGTGTGGCTTTATGCTTAATTACAAACAAACAAACTAAAAATGCAAGTTTATGATCTCACTGATGTTAAACAGCAAAGTTAATACTTCTATCCTTGGATGATACTTTCACTATTTTCGATAATACACTGGTTTATTAAGCACTTGTTTAGCTTTCATCGTAACTTTTGTCGAAGTATGTACTTGAATCACAGTTATCTTTTTACGATTCTATTTTTTACTTCCATAAATTTATTTGATTAATTTTTTCAATTATTGTACATAACCTTTAAATTCTTAATGTGTCAAAAAGCGTATTCTTTTCACATCATTGATCTTCTTAGGTCCCCCATTGTATAACCACATTCAAAATTCAACAATCGTTTTTAAACTTATTATTTCGAATGATAAAATTAATGCGTACAAGGGTTAAGATTAGAAATGTTTTCATAATACATTTAATTCTATACAGTCATTGAAAAAGTCTATATATTACTGAACTATATGTAGCTAGTTATTTTTCAAATGATATAAAATATACATTCACTGTGGTGAGTAAAAGACAACACCAAACACCGTACATATAACATAGTAAAAGACAACACACAACACCGTACATATAATATAGTAAAATACAACTCCAAACACCGTACATATAATATAGTAAAAGACAACACACAACCGTACATATAATATAGTAAAAGACAACTCCAAACACCGTACATATAATATAGTAAAAGACAACTCCAAACACCGTACATATAATATAGTAAAAGACAACTCCAAACACCGTACATATAATACAGTAAAAGACAACACACACACAACACCGTACATATAATATACACTCCATCAGCAGAAACAGCCCAGTCTTGTTACTGGTGAGTGGCGAAATTCCTTGAAACTGGTATAACTCAGTGACAGTTGGTGAATTTGATGATAGATTGGGTTTCATAATCATTTCTAGCGTGAAGTGAATTACGATTACAATAACCTTTTCTAACAACGTTATCAATAGACTCATTGTTTGGAAAGCTCAAATAAATAATATATTTTAACACTAAAAAGACTATTAGCCTCATATTACAAAGATAAATATGATTGTGAAATCTTATAGACAAAACCTGTCCTTGGTCTAACCTAATGTTATATTTATATCGTTGGTCTAACCTAATGTTATATTTATATCCTTGGTCTAACCTAATGTTATATTTATAGTTATGAATTTAATGAAGTAATAATCTAGATTTAAAATGAATTAATTCGTTTCGATTAAAAAAATACACAAAAAGACCCACCCTCGTTCAAATTTAGGCTTAGAACTTTAGAGAATCGGCAAATGACACGTTCCTGTTTCACTTAGCTCAAAAAGACCAATATAGATCTAAAACCAAATAAAACAAAAAACAGTATTTTTTGTCTTTTCTCTATAATATTTGATCATACAGTAAGGAAAGCAACAACAACAGCATAAAGCAGGACTAATACGAACACCATAATGAAAAAAACACACGCTATTTTCTTTTCCTCGATATTATAGACAAAACAATAAGGAAAACCACACACAAGATGACAAAGAAAACTTAAAATGTGCCCGCGAACTTTCGAGATAAATACAAGAAAGCTACTGCTACAAAAAAGAATATGCAAATTTAAGAATGACAAATAAATAAAATATATTAGATAGTAACGGTTCCCAACCTTTTCCCGACTGAGAACCAGCTATTTCCGATCCCCAACGGACCACTTCGTACAAGATTAACTTTTTAAAGTACTTTTAATAAGTGATCTTGTACGACAATATACCTCAGTCTCAATATTTTAATGCTCCCCAGTGGCACAGCAGTATGTCTGCGGACTCACAACAATAGAAACCTGTTTCGATACCCGTGGTGGGCAGAGCACAGATAGCCCATTGTGTAGATTTGTGCTTAACTACAAATAAACAAACAAACTATCTTTAAAAAAAATTTCAACCGTCTTGCGGACTGGCTGAAATCCCCTTGTGATCCAGCGGTTAGGAACCACTAAATTTAGATGAGTGTGACGTAATTGTCCATTCAAATTACTTGAAGATCCTAACAAGGGCAGTAACAAACGAAGCCTTCACATGAAAGAGAGATTTTTATTCATTCATAAACAGAGGCCTCAAATTAACCAGTGTTGTTGTTTTGGCGCAGAGATACACAAAGGGAAATTACGTTTTGTCAACCGCGGAGAATCGAATCCCAGGTTTTTAGCATCGTAAGTCCGTAAATTTACCGCTCAACCATTAGGGCCTGACCAAGTCAGTTCAGCTTATAAGATGGTGTTTACTTATCCTGTAATTCACTGACTGTACTTTACACTAATGGACTATTGGTTTTACACTGAGGAGACTTGAAATGTAAGTGAAAATTAGGCCTAGTGTGTGATTTAGGAAATATGTCTCAATGAAATTGAATAAATAAACTTAGTCTGAAAAAAAAATAAAACTTTAAATTCCACTTCTTAATTAAAATATTGAAAACATTAAAATATAAAGTAAATGTTTTTTTTTTTACTATTGGTTTTGGTACTGAGAACAGCTTTTATGCAATACCTAATTTCTGATGGGGATAATGACCTAGATGTCGCTTCAGTTTCCCTTCTGGAAGGAGATCTTGATCTCTGCATCCCGCTTTCTTTCTGGTGCACTGCTGAGCGAGAGCGCCCTCTGATGGTGGCTGATGAAGCGGGAATCGTGACTGTAGCCCGCCTACTGTGATCGTACATAGGTTCTTCTCGAGTAGAAACTAAGAGCCAAGGTTAAAACATCGTTAACATATAAGTAAGAAGAGTTAGTTAAGTGGAAAAGCACGTAAAGCAAGTTACCTGTGTGAAGTCAGTCCACAGTATGTATGGTCCTTAAACCTTTACACATATTATATTCAGATTCTGTTTAAAAATGACGGTTCGCAAATATATAAACCTAAACGTAATACATTTTGCACATAACTGAATTAAAGGTAAGATGTCTGTTAAATCGTACCCCCCCCCTTTTTTTTACTTTCTTGTAACCACGAAAAATAAATGAGACTAGATGTGTCTGTAATTAGTCCGTTTACATTTTGGGTTCATTCTAGAGAATTTGTTTTGTTTGTGAATTTCGCGCAAAGCTACACGAAGTTTCTCGGCGCCTGCCGTCCGTCAATTAGCAGTGTTAGACTAGAGGGAATCAATACCACCCACCGCCAACTCTTGGGCTACTCTTTTACCAACGAATAGTGGGATTTACCGTCACATTATAACGCCCTCAAGGCTGGAAAGGCAAGCATGTTCGGTGACAGGGATTCGAACCTGCGACTCTCGGATTGCGAGTTGAGGCTTGAATTGTAGGCTTGAAAATATAATTTTTGCACTTTGATTCAATTTGTTTCTGTACTTTGTTGACGATCCCTATTCCCCTTTTAAATGAACAACTTTTAATTAACTTGTTTCTGGTGTGTTTTTTTATGTTCATTTATGGAGAATACATTTTAAGTTACATACGTACACGTGTAATCAATTGAATGTTACATGTTTTTTAACAGTTTACTGCTGCATTGGCGTGTTTTTTTTCCACCCAACCATAATTTACTGAGCCAGATGGTTTTGTGCCTAGGATTTCGTGTAAACACACGTTTAACACGCGTCGAGTACAAAGGAAGCCGCTCACAACAACATCACATATATTATGTATGTATAGCCACGTAAATCAACTTTCAATGAAATATAACCAACTTTTTAAATAGGTCATGGACATTCAAAGCGTTTCATATAATATATCTGTCTAGGTTTTGGTGTAAGATACCCAGCCGATTTTCCTCTAGGCTTTTAAAACAAAAATACTAAAACACGCACTCACAATTTCAGCGAATTACGAAAATCAGTGAAATAAACCACAGCTCTCAAGAGTAGAGAAATCTACTATGGTAATCGTCTACTGTTAGAAAACTCACTGAAGTAGTCGTAGAAAACCAGGTAGAGACAAAGTACAACAGAGAACTCGAGAAATAATGAATCCTTAACACAGCAGTTTCCAATTAATGCGCTATAAGTTACACAAATCATTTTCCAAGTGATGTGCGTTAGTGAAACACCGAATTTTTTGCCCATATGTTCTAATAGAAATTCCTGGGCGATCCCTATTATGAACCACTATCGTAGTTCATAATGGACATCAGAAGTAGTTTCAGTTTATGCAAAGATGTTTTTATTTGCTCAACTTCTTGCAATGAATATTCAAAAAGAAGAATGCAATGATATAATTAATACCCACGTCTTTGGGACCGTCTCTTGCTGCTTACTGGTGACATATCTCGACCCATGACGTCACCAAACTGACTTCTTGCCAGCAGAGGGCTTGAGTCGCTTCCCATGAGAGTAAAGCCAGCGTCATCTGTGTCGGCTAGTCTTCGATCTGCCAAATAAATTATAATCATTATGATTTGAAAACGAGAAATTAAATTGATAAATTTCAATTTAATTTCAAAATATTATGAAGAAATTATGCTCAAAAAGAAATCTTACTTGCCTAACTCTTTCAGCTATGATTAAACAGTTCTTATTATTCAGAAATCACTGGTCACTTTGTATCATCGACAGGGGTGGAGGTTTTTTGTGATTTCAACACTTTGCGAAGTACCGTATAAGGTTTGGTATGTGGAACACAACAACAACAGCAACAACAAAACACAAACATTGTGATGCAATAAAAAAAAAAAACGCTTAAAGAACTAACCTCGAAGAAGAGCACTTCCATCGTCCAGATCATACTCAGACATATCGCTGTCAGAAAGTCTGGAGAGAGTAGAAGGAGGAGAAGGGTGATCTGTGGATGTGATGGTGCTTGCTGCCTCTGTATCCAGATACATGTTCTGCCGCTGCTAGGGGTACACAAGAGGAACTCTATGATATGGAGTTAGATAAAATAATTAACTAGTAATCGTTTCGTCCAATTAGAAGAGTGAATGTAAGATGTTAATGTTAGGGTGTGGTTTGGAGTAGCCATGTTAGATTCGTGTAAAAAATAAATAAATAGATCTACCAATCTTTAGTCTTAACAATATGCAGGGACGTGTTTACCGGGGTGGCGTGAGAGGAGGGCAGCCCCCAACAAGCCCTCCCTCCCATCTTTTAAGATTTTAAAATTCTGTATATTGTGAATCCCACTGACATTAAAATGTTAATTTGTCTGCCCCCCCAAAAAAAATACCTCTTTACCTTCTTATGCCCCCAAATGAAAAATCTTAGAAATGTTGCTGTTAATATGGAGAATAACTGTGTTTCAGAACATTCTTAACAAAATAATCATCAGTTTGGTTTTGGCAGAGAAAATAAGAATCTGTTAAGTACATTGACGCAGCATTGCTGCTGACCCAACTTGTCTTAGACATTTCAAGGGTCGAAACGTTGTTTGGTGACCGATTGAGCTTGTCATTACTAACATACCTTTAGCTTCCGATCGCAGGGGTCGAAACGTTGTTTGGTGACTGATTGAGCTTGTCATTACTAACACATCTTTAGCTTATGATCGCAGCTTTGAATTAAATAACACTGGAAGTTCCACCTCTTAAAGACTACCACGATTAGTTTGGTTGTTGTTAAGCGCAAATATACACAATAGGTTATCTATGTTCTGCCTATGACGGGTATCGAAACCCGATTTTTAGCGTCGTAGCCTGCACACTCACCGATGAACCACTGTGGGCGACCATTCCAGACCAGTAAAAATTGCTCATAGGGAGATGGGTGTAAGGAATCCAACTAACAAGAAAGCTTACAAAATGGGTGATGAATACTTAAAATACCACATACAAACGTAAATGTTGATTTGGTTCGGTTCTTATAACTATTTGAAACTAGTGATGTTGAAAACTTATCACTGTTCCTTTTATGGTGGTAATATATACATAATTTGAAGGTTTTTTTCATAAGAATATGTGGAGGTTCCTTGTTTATTTCTTAAGGTTAATATATACTGCTAAGCCTTTTTGTTAGATCCGTTAACATATGTATATTGCTAAGCCTTTTTGTTAGATCGGTTAACATAAGTATATTGCTAAGATTTCTTGTTTATTTATAAGAACCCCTACTCCAGAGTCTCTGCGGTAAGTCTAAAGGCTTATAACGCTAATAACCGGGTTTCGATACCCGTGGTGGGCACAGCACAGATATCCCATTGGGTATCTTTGTGCTTAAAAACAAGGAAAATATTTTTTATAGTAATGTACTGTTAAGCCTTTTTATTAGGTCAGTTAACATAAGTATACTGCTAAGATTTCTTGTTTATTTTTAAGGTTAATATATTGTTAAGCCTTTTTATTAGATCAGTTAAGTTAATTGCTAATTTATTTTTTTCCCGAATCAGTTAACATAAGTATATTGCTAATATTTCTTGTTTATTTTTAAGGTTAATATATTGTTAAGCCTTTTTATTAGATCAGTTAAGTTAATTGCTAATTTATTTTTTTTCCGAATCAGTTAACACAAATATATTTTCATTAATCCTTTTTAGCTTAGTTATCGAAGACGTAATTAAGTTGGCTTATTACTCGATTATGGTAATATTATCGTTAACATTTTCGAATAACTCGAGAATTGAAGATATATTGTTATAATTTCTTGGTAACATTACTAATAGTGCGTTGAGGCTGTCCTCGTGACTGGTCAGAATATACCACTCTTCTTCTTTGTTGACCGGTGCAGAAGATATGTCGATCACCACCTACACACAAAAAAAGAAACCTTTTACAAACAAAGCACACAGTTTTCTACTTTATACAGTCTTTTATGTCTTCAACTATTTGTTAATTTTAATGCTTGAGACATTCTCTAACGGAAGACCATTGTGGACCAAAAATTCCCAAATTACTGACTTGATTTTCAAAGGTCAGACCTTTCTATGTACTGGACATTCCTCTTGAAGTGTCGTAATAAACGTATAAACTTAACTCCAAAATATCTTAAAGTAAAGAGTTAGAGAACCAAAATATGATAAATCCTCGTTTATTTTTCACTTTTGTTCAAACAAAATGTTAATCTGAATTGTCTGACCACTTTATTAGAATCGCCTCCCCCACACATTTGTAGGACACTTTAATTATTTGCATATGCATAAACGAATACTTTTGTAGCGTGTCAAGTGATTGGCTGATCCATATCATGGTTGGTCTGCTAGAAAACCGGTGATTGGCTGATCCATATCATGGTTGGTCTGCTAGAAAACCAATGATTGGCTGATCCATATCATGGTTGGTCTGCTACAAAACCAATGGTTGGCTGATCCATATCATGGTTGGTTGCTATAAAACCGGTGATTGGCTGATCCATATCACGGTTGGTCTGCTAGAAAACCAGTGATTGGCTGATCCATATCATGGTTGGTCTGCTAGAATACCAATGATTGGCTAATCCATATCATGGTTGGTCTGCTAGAAAACCAACGATTGGCTAATCCATATCATGGTTGGTCTGCTAGAAAAACCAGTGATTGGTTGATCCATATCATGGTTGATCTGCTAGAAAAACAGTAAGAACAAGGATTTCTCCTGAGTTTAAAGAAGATGTTGGTAGGTGTCCATCAGACAGGAGCGTAGTTATCAAAAACCAGTTCTTAAGGCTGTTCAAATTAAACATAAGTTAGATTGTTTCAGTCTTACTACTAGGAGCAGAGTTTCAAAATGTGTCGTATGGAAACCTCCATGGATCGAGCTCTTCCAAGACAATAATTCAACAATCCAACACGCTGATATGGTTGAAACTAGTTCGAAAACTATAACAATGACTTCAGTCATTTTATGTTATCCACATCATCCACTAAATTACTGGAATATTCGACACCATAGCTCTCTGACGTCATCTGTGAACTAACTGCAGATTTTCAATTTTCGACAAAATTGAAATAAGACAAATTCCAATATCACGTGGAGTCTATGTCTCGCCGAGTACAAACTATTATGGTGAAGAAGGTCGGTCTATTTCAATATTAGGTGGGAGTCGTAATAAAGTGGTGTATCAGTACTTTACTTTAATAAACGTTAGTACAGTTTACGGTCACTTTTAACCCTCTAGTGTGAAGTTTGGAAACAAAAAAGATAAACTTAAAACTCGTGGATTCTGTTAGGTAAAGTCTACTATGTGTAAAAAATGAATGATTCAGATGTGTGGCACAAAAGTTACCATATGTAAAAAATGAATGACTCATATGTGTAGCACAAAATTACCATGTGTAAAAATGAATGACTCAGATGTGTAGCACAAAAATTACTATGTATAAAAAAATGAATGACTCAGATGTGTAGCACAAAATTACCATGTGTAAAAAATGTGAGACTCAGATGTGTAGCACAAATATTACTGTGTGTAAAAAATGAATGACTCAGATGTGTAGCACAAAATTACCATGTGTAAAAATGTGAGACTCAGATGTGTAGCACAAATATTACCATGTGTAAAAAATGTATGACTCAGATGTGTAGCACAAAATTACCATGTGTAAAAAATTTGAGACTCAGGTGTGTAGCACAAAAATTACCATATGTAAAAAAAAATTATGACTCAGATGTGTAGCACAAAAATTACCATGTGTAAAAAATGTGAGACTCAGGTGTGTAACAGAAAAATTACTATGTGTAAAAAATGAATGACTCAGATGTGTAGCACAGAAATTACCATGTGTAAAAAATGTAAGACTCAGATGTGTTGCACAAAAATGAGCACGAGACTTTAATACTTATGCTTATGATGAGTCAAATGTAAGCAGAAAAGGAAACTAAGAATTGTTATTGGTTATAAAATTGTTTAATAAACATTATCTCCTTTTTTGCTGTTCTTAAACACATGTTTTAATGACACTGAACTTTCGGTCCTACATGTTGAATATTTCGTTTCAAACAGTGTTTATTTGTAGAAATCACAAGAAGAGTCATTACTGACAGTTGGAGTCATTTTATAGGTCTGGTTTGTTTTGAATTTCGCGCAAAGCTACACGAGGGTTAGCTGCGCTAGCCGTCCCTAATTTAGCAGTTTAAAACAAGAGGGAAGGCAGCTAGTCATCACCACCCACCGCCAACTCTTGGGCTACTCTTTTACCAACGAATAGTGGGATTGACCATCACATTATAACGCCCCAACGGCTAAAAGGGCGAGCATGTTTTATGGGAGGGGGATTCGAACCCGCGACCCTCAGATTGCGAGTCGAACGCCGTAACCACCTGGCCATGTCGGGCCCATTTTTATAGGTTTAGATTTAATACATATACATATAAATGTAGTTAGTAGTTAATAATATTACTCTACAAACAATCCCACCACTGGAAATATGGATATTGATCATGTAACGAACAATATCTAAACTACTAGTCCACACGAGTTCTTTACCTCTCCCAGGAAATCATTAACTCCATATCGGTCATAATCCCAAACTGCAAGTTCTAAAGCTCGTGCCTTCAGGTCCGTCCCCCTCAGCGGAGAATACACAAACGTCTGGTTCCACTTGGGGTCACTAGTGTCGGCAATGGTTTTTGTTCGTCGTTTGCTCTTTTCGCTTGAAGATGTGAACAAATCAACATTAGGTAAGAAACATTTAACAATCACGTAATTATCTAGATTACAAAAAAAATTAAATCCACATTAAAAGTGTAACTAATACCCAAATACAGCAAGAGGACTACAACATAGTTAAAAATAAACAATGACGAATAACACAGTGAAGGTAAACAGTAACGATAAACAATAAAATATATCATAGTAAAAATAAATAATGACGAATAACACAGTGAAGGTAAACAGTAACGATAAACAATAAAATATATCATAGTAAAAATAAATAATGACGAATAACACAGTGAAGGTAAACAGTAACGATAAACAATAAAATATATCATAGTAAAAATAAATAATGAAATACAACATAGTAAAAATAAACAATAAAATACAACATAGTAAAAATAAACAATAAAATACAATATAGCAAAAATAAACAATAAAATATATCATAGTAAAAATAAACAATAAAATACAACATAGTAAAAATAAACAATGACGAATAACACAGTGAAGGTAAACAGTAACGATAAACAATAAAATATATCATAGTAAAAATAAACAATAAACTACAATACAGTAAAAATAAACAATAAAATACAACATAGTAAAAATAAACAATGACGAATAACACAGTGAAGGTAAACAGTAACGATAAACAATAAAATATAACATAGTAAAAATAAACAATGACG